GGCTCTATCGGTCCCTGATACACGGATTTCATAGCATGCTGAGTAGCTTACATGAATGGTTTTGGTCTATACTTCTTACAATAGTGACTGACAGAATTTATAGGTTGCAACATTTGCCTCAGAAACATGGCCTGTCAGTGGCTGCGCCTGCGTCTTCTCTGTTTTAAGAGACATGAGGCCACCACCACCCCAGCTGTTGTTTCATGTCATCGGAACAGAAGAGACAATTACTTTTAAGTTAGTTCACTTGTGAATTCAGGTGCAGGCAGCCGAACGTTATCAGACGATTTTCAGTTGCGCTGTTAAGGGTAGAGGTCAACTCTGTTGGGAGATGTAGTCCTCGAGTTAAAATTTTTCTTACTGTTAATAATGGATTACTTCCTAAATGTCAAATACCCGACTACAGGTTTTCTCCTCAAGTTGCCATCCATCCACCAATAACCATTGTCTGATTATAGTTTAATCGAGCAAGGAGCGAAAATTTCGCTTCTCTCCAATCAACTGTTATCACAATTGGACATCCCGCGAAAACGACTTAACTGGTTGGCGGTCAAGTTAAAGTTGATAAGCCACCAAAGCCGTAGAGATTTTGATTGTTCAGAGAAAATTGCCTCCACGCCGAGACCGAGATTTGACACAGGTAGTCCGTCGTAGGTGAGTGAAGACAAGAGACGTAATTTAGGAGAAAATCTGAAAAACTGGCCATAAAATTTCTGCACACTACGGTCCACCGTCAACCCTTCTGTCAGCTAGTGTACAAGGAATTGTTTACACATTCACGGACATCGCTGTGCCGATGAGCATCGTCTACCGTGCTCTCCAGGCTCATCCCTTAGGTAATTACGCATATAAATTAGTGTGGCTGTTACTCATTTGATGGCTTTTGCTGAAATCGCACAGGTATGGACACGAATGGTTTCCAAAAGTGTACGCCCTGGTGTCGCTTTGGCGCAGAAGTCTTAAAGTGCAGCACAACAAAGAACGATGTGACTTCATATATTCTTCTATTAAAAGAATGAGTTGAAATTGATAGCATAACACTAGTGACATGACCCGACAGAATCACAAGACGGCGGTTAGTTCGTTTGTGGAATCTACATGATAACACACTCCAGCTCTTGTTAAAGCTGTCCATTCGGTTTTCTCTTATCTTTGCTCATGAACAGGCTTGTGGGTTGCTGTGGCCCAGAACAGCTAATGATTGATACGTGGTACCAGGAGAGTAATTTTATAGAGGAAAATCTTGGTAGCTCAGGTATCGTAGATGGTGATCGTTGGCTTGTTCGCTGAGCTGGGCAATTTGATTGCAAACGTTTCACCACCAATCGAGGTGACATCATCAGTGCGTTTTTGTGGAGCGTAGTAGTGCGTGGCGGTGGGTTGGTGGTTGTGCGCAACCACAAAAAAACGCACTGATGATGTCACCTCGATTGGTGATGAAACGTTTGCAATCAAATTGCCCAGCTCAGAGTAATTTCAATTCAGCCGAACCGACTGGAGCAAATAAACCGCCTTAAACCGCGTCATTGTGCATTTATAAACCGTAACTCAACGGTATTCTATTGAAAACTTTAAAAATGCATCTGCTGGCATAAACTTCGTTCGCACTTCTGGCGAGGTGACTAGTATATGCATTCGCGGTCTCGCTTATTGTGACAAAGCCAAGAAATTCGATTTGGATTATGGCGTGCTAAAAATGTTCAGGTTAGCCTCTCGCACAGTCTCGGGGGGCGTGTGATTGGTTATCTTCCACAACTGTGGTGTAACGGAGGTGTCTTCCACGCGAAATTCCTTCACAGTTGTCAATCCATCGTTCATACGCCCCCGGGGTGGTCAGTGAATATTTAGCCGTGGATCTGAGTGACGTGATCAAATATCTTTACAGTACTACAAGTTACTCTGGACCAAGCTTACACACAGGATCGGGTTTCTCGAAGTTCTGTGGTCAAGACCTCAAAAAAATGAAGTCATTGATTGAGGGACATCAACTGGTACACATTTAAAAATGCTTACACGTAGGAAGTCTCAAGGTGGGTTCCGGGTAACAGCGAAACCAATAGACGGCAATCTTTGGGTAGATATGCCCGTACCGGAAGGTACGATTTTGAGCGGCCAAAAAGTACCAAAACACTATCAAACTGAGGGAAAATGAAACGCAAAGTTAAGCTCCATATCTTTACTAGTATGGCCGGAAAAATAGATTGACTTTGCTACATCACGTTAGCGACCGAGTAGCCACAGCCCCAGCTGCGATTCCTTTTTCCGAGTCGACTGAATCGTTGAGTATATTTTTACTGGAATACTCACGAAGAGATAACCCCGGCAATTATAGGTAGCCGGAGTGAAGAAATGCTGTGCATTGTCAGATGTGGGAGACCTGGAACTCAAAGTCCAACCATTATCTACCAATCGACTGCTGGACCGACTTCAGGTTGGTTGTAACCCAATAAGACTACTCTAACCTCTCTTCGGTTTCGTGTTCCACCTTACTTCAAAACCCGGTGCCTGTACGACAGTGTGGGAAACCTATTACACCGACAACCCCAAACCGACAGGGAAATATTGCGTGGTTCATGCAGTGATTTGCGGTGCCTGTAATGGGAAAGTTCGCGGTGTGCAAACAACAAAGTCAATTCCAACGACATTTTGTTTCTGAGATTTTCGACATTATAAGAGAAAATCATATTGGTCAGCGGTTTCTGCGGAATCTTAGGTAATGAACCACCGCAATATTCTCCAACTTTGGATTTGAGGTTGGTGGCTTCGGGATCATCCGTGTGTGGAATATATGATCAACTGTAGCAAGATGTGGAGCGTATTCTTCGGGGCTTTCTTCGAATGGTTCTCTCGCAAAACCTTGGAATTTTGGTGAGGGTATACCCGGCTGAGGTGAAACGGTTTTCGACAGGGGATACCACTTTCGCTAAAGGAAATCAAACACTTCCGAATCCAGGCAGTTTTAGTGTGGTTGTGATCAATCGTTGAGCAGCGGCCTATCAACCCACCGGAGGCTGAAATGTTCAGACGAATTGCCATTTCTTTAGTTACCAAGCTGATAGCAAGCACCAAAGTAAACACTATCTACAGTCTTGGAAATATGAAGCACTATATGGAAAAGACAATTTCCACGACACGGCCCCCAATACATTAAGTGAAGTAAAAAAAAAACAGCTAAACCAGCGTAAATTATCCATTGATCCACTCAATTACGAATCCTCCACTTCGATGAATAAACACCAAAATGGCAAGTCCATGACAGAGAAACTATATGGTCTTTAGCACACTGAAACAGGGCAGAAGCTGGTGCACTAGCTGAAAATTATCAGCGAAACACGGATGTCGCAGCCATTTCGAATCGTTAAAAAGTCAATACGAACTGTCCTGAAGACGCGCACCAGAGCAATCTCCCTCTCTCAAGAGGCATCACTATTGAAATACGTTGTCAGCCTAACCAAAAGCTGTCCCATCTGATCGAGACACGAGCCGATCTCATTGGTGATTCTCTTTAACCAAACGACAACGCGACGCCGGACTGCTATTTGTTATTTTTTGTATCTTCATCCATCAACAAGAACCTAGATCAGACTGCTGTGGGCTGATACCAGGAAATCCGACTTCCAGAGACAAACGCTGCTGGAGCTGTTCAGTCACATATCATGGATATCTAGCGCACATTCTAAACGAAAGTCTCCATCCGTTCGATTTATCGGTTAAACTCATCCCGAACAGGTCAATTGCGCATAAGTCATGAAACGAGCACTACTGAAAAGCATGTCTTGCTGCAGTACAAGGAGTAGAATTGTTTTCCCGATTCAGTCGTGCAAATGCACAAAATAATAACGGCGAGAGAGTAACGTAGATCGCTCCATGAACTTGACTACTAACAACGAAATCGGCACAATACAATATAAAACGCGATACAGGATAAGCTGCTGCTGCTCAAGGATGACGATCAACCAACTGAAACTATCTTACCTTCCCGAAGAATCCCATTCAGTTTGTTTTACCGATCACCTAGACATCCCTATGCGTTCAACAAAAAGTTATGGAGAAACAAATCGTCTCACATATGACAACAACGGCTGGGCAGTCCCACTCAGTGAGTGGCGGTCAGGAGACTCGTCTCATTTCTCGACAAAAACTGATACCCAGAGCAAAATATAAGAACAACTGAACCAGTAAAGGGCTTTCACATCGCATATTAGAGTCTTCAGCTATGAAACACTCGTCCGAGTATCGATGAATCTCCAGTTCGACATTTTTGTGCAGCAAATAGGCGATAGTGACTGGACAGAGCTAGGCAGAAGTCACAGATCCCAACTGAAGCGGCATGCCTCGAAAACAGCCAGCTAGCTGATAATGTGGACCAGCCTAACTTAACGTAGGCACCACCTGGTGAGTCTGTCTTCCACTAAATAAAGCAAGAGTTACGTTCAGCTCACATGCCCACCCACTGGTTCACCTTGTTGACCGAAGGTACCCACAGGAGGTAAGTGATGAGATAGTTCCCCATCCTTTTGAGCGAAAGAACAAAATCACGCCTAACTCACACACAGTCAAGCGCTATTTTGAAAGATAGACTAGGTCCCGTTGTAATTACAACTTGTCAAGTCGAGTAGACCTTTACAATCCATGCGAGACTTGTTGGGACCACAGCCAGCAACAAAACAGCCGTGCTATTCTACTCTGTTTGTTAGGCCAACAGACACATTGCCCCTGGACGGTTGTAACCTCCCGTCTAACAGCGACGAAAATGTCAACTGATTTCAATCAATCACTCATACGTAGCCTCGGCGCTGCTACGCCACCCGAAGGAAACACGAAGGCTGATACACTGCCAGGTTGCTCAATAATAGACAAAGGCAAGTGAGATCCAGAGTTTGGGTTCGAACGGCGGACATTCTAATCAGTTAGTTCGCGCCTTAACCACTGAGCTACCTCAAGCTCCGATAAAGATGTGGTCGAGTACAAAAAGCCCCAGAGGGTCGTAAAGGCATAATTTTCTGCGTAGTTTATGCAGGACGGGAAAGGGACGAAACAAGGCATCAGAGCGTAAAAACAGAGTGGCTCTTCGGCAAAATGCAAAATGGCATGTACAGAATATGGCTATGTACAAAAATGGCAACCAGGCGCTGGTCACTCAACGTCGTACGGTGCGAACTTTTCACGCATGGCCAGGGTGAGTTCGGTCTCTTTGTCAATCTCGTCCGTACAGTTGCGCCAATCAGCTCTATCCGGGCAATCGAGGATGCGGGAATCACTGAGGACGAATCTGAAAAATAATTAAAGACAAAGGAGCCAAGGTCAAGTGAAGTGATCAAATGGGGTTATGAAAGCAATCTTGATTCAGCATAAAAATTGGCATCATAATCATCAGTGACAGCAATATTGTTCGCACTGATGCCTCACTGCCGTACAACTATAAGGTTATACAGAATATTTCCATACTTTCATCTCTGAAGCACCACCCAATCAATTCCACCAGCCTAGTGTAGGAATACCTACAATTGTGTGAATATTGGGAACATCCGTTGTAAGTCACCTCAAAGGCTTATATAAGTTCTTATTACCATGAAGTAACCAGGATTAGAAGAGTGGAGAAAAGTTTCAGTGCAGGTGAAACACTCACCAAATACCATATGTGGTGGAATATAACCTGAAAGTACTGGCTGGAAATACTCTAGGCAATAATTAAGACATTCCTGAGTTAGGACATGAACGTTCAAGGTCTAGTTCTGAAGTCCTCACTCAGGCTTGGGTGAATTATCAAAGTTGTGCTCCTCACGCATTCTACGAACCGTGGGGCAGTGTGTAAGGAAAGGATACCAAAGCTCAACTCACTGGTGCATATTTCCGGCTCCTTGTTCTGTTTTTAGACCATAAACCGAATGCATGTCTAAGGTGTTGGGGATCGGTAGTCTTTGGTAGCGACAAAGATGGTGAAAATTCACAGAAAATGGATGAAACGAGAACATACAACTTGTGATTGGGTAGATAAGAAAGGGCCAACTGATTTCACAAGCACAGGTAGGGTAACGTGGGTCTGTATCTGGAAGAGGAACAGCACCAACAGCACCGATACTTCTCGTAAAATCCTCCACCTAATTCTGCCTCGTCATTTCCCGTTATTGCCACTCGGAATTCAGCGCAGAAAATGTTGCCCTTCTCAGCAGAGAGGAGACAACTCAAGAAAGCTAAGAGGTTCGGGCTCAAACTAACTGACTGGAAAGTTCGCACCTCGAGTCCAATCCCGGCAAATCGACTACTATCTAGCCTTCGGCAAACTGGGAGCATCCCAGCCGTCGTGCCTACTTCGGGTAACATGGCTGCCCGGCACCGATTGTTAGGGCTGGACGATTGTTATTATTGTATTTACTACCACTATTGCTACCCTAGCAAAACATCCTGATCGCGTCATCTCAAATTCACCGATTGTTAGGGCTGAACGATTGTTATTATTGTATTTACTACCACTATTGCTACCCTAGCAAAACATCCTGATCGCGTCATCTCAAATTCTTCGGTTGACTCC